AGCTGGAGAGCCGGTAGAAGCTGGTCGGGGAACGGTAGGCACCGTCACGGAAGAGCCAGCAGTGGATAACGACTGAGACGAGCTGGACTTGGCCGTGAATGTGGCTAGCCCCGTCGTAGAAGAAACAATTACCGTGGATCCAGTCGAAGCCACTGCGTCGCGATAGTGGATCCAGCCTTTGCCACAGAACTAGTCTTCGACGCCATAGCAGCGGATCCAGTCTTGGATCCAGATGACGTCGCGAGAGTGGATCCAGCCTTCGAGATGAAGCCATGCTTGCCACCGCAGCTGTGGATCCAATCTTGGCGGTCGATCCAGACTTGGATGCCGTGGATCTCGTCGTAGATACAGCCGTGGATCCAGCTTTGGGTCCAGATCTCGACTTAGGCGCGGCTGTGGATCCAGTCTTGGCAGTCGATTCAGACTTGGACGCTGTGGATCCCGTCTTGGATGTAGCAGCGGATCCGGCCTTGGACGCCAATCCCGACTTGGATGCAGCGACGGCTTCAGTCTTGGATCCGGTACCGGACTTCAAAGACGACATCGAGGGCTTGGGCGTGGGTGTGGATCCAGTTTTGGGCATTGCCTTAGAGGCAGAGCCGATTTTGGGCTTGGTCTTGGGAGAAGCTCGGGTCTTCTTGTGAGGCCGAGGGGATCCAGTACCAGGAGCAGGGGATACACTACGCGGTCGTTTCGCAGCCGACGGACTCGCCCCACTTGGAGACTGCTGGGCAGCTGAGACGCTACTGGCAGGGGCGATCCAGCCTTGGGAGAGAGTGGATCCGAAGATCCAGGGGGAGGAGAAAGGGGATCCGAGATAGCAGCAGCCACCAAAGTCAGTCGTCGACGCGCCAAGTCCCGATCGGACAACCTGCGATCGCGCTCCAGAACCGGCTGCTGGCGCTGAGTACGAACTGTAGCGAGCTGATCCCGTAGCTGCGTCGAAGTTGCCTCGGCATATTTCAGTTTGTCACCTGGATCAACATAACGAGTGAATATGGGATTACAAGAGATACACATACTCAGGCGACGGATCTTGGATTCCAGCTCCGTTTGCGTTCGCTTGGCATCCGCCCACTTGGTGGCTGCCTTGTCACGATGCAGCTCGGTATCCGACAGCTTGTCTTGAATCTCGTCGCGGGCTTGGGTCATGCGTACATACTCCTCAAACGCGTAGTCTCGCCCAGCCGATGCTTTCTCGAGCGATGATTTGGCATCTTTCAGCTCCTCGGAGAGAAGAGCCAGAGCCACGTTTGGCGACGAGGGAGGCGGATTCGGTACGGGGGATCCTCCGCTAATGCGGATCCACCATGGGTGGACTCCACATAATCGCTGGTCACTAACTCTTCCTGGGTCAGGCGCAACTCGTCACGGAGCCGATCCAAGCTCTCGTCAGCAGCCGCGCTAGCAGCTTGAGTCTTCCAAATCCCGCTCGAGACCGTAGATCCGGGATTGCAGCTGGTGGATCTCGGATCCGGCGAGCGCCATCTCCCGAACGAGATGGGCGCTGTCGTCTCGCA